AGATCAACACTCCCACCCAGCTAGGTGTCATCTGCAAACTTTCTGAGCGGGCACTTGATTCCCTTGTCCAAATCATCAATATAGATGTTAAACAGAACTGGCCCCAACACTGAGCCCTGGGGGACACCACTTGTGACCGGCCACCAACTGGATTTAACTCCATTCACCACCACTCTCTGGCACGGCCGGCCAGCCAGTTTTTTACCCAGTGGAGGGTATGCCTGTCTAAGCCATGAGCTGCCAGCTTCTCCAGGAGAATGCCATGGGAGACAGTGTCAAAGGCCTTGCTAAAGACCAGGTGGACCACATCCACAACCTTTCCCTCATACACCAAGTGGTTTTTTTTTTTTTTCCTTTTGGTTTGACTGTAGTAAAACACCTGGATATTCTGAATAAAAAGCTGTGGGACATGATGCTGAAGGCTGTTCCTGATTATCTCATTGCTTAGGTCTTACTGATTGTAAGCAAGGCTTAATTGTTTTTAAGTAGTAAAACTAACCTGTCTTCTTTACATCATAGAAATGCAAAAACCAGAAGCCAGTTTTCTTGGGTTGTGTTTGTAACTCCCAACTTGTAGCAGAAGGTATATTTATGTACCTGGATTAGTGGACTGACTCTCTTAAGAGCAAGCTCTACCTCTGTAACAGATACAGCTCTTTGTGTGAGTGTCAGCAATGTGCCACTGATTTAAGTTTTCATCTTCAGGGACACGTTGTTTTCACAGGTTGTGGTTCTAGGAAGTGTGTTTCTCTGAAATGACTAATTTAAATTTTTTTTTTCTGGCTCTGTGTGCAACATAATTGTATACAAAAATGATATATTAACGCATTCTTTTTAACAGGAGAAAGAAACTGGAAACAAAAGTGAAGAAACTTGAAGGTAACTTTCTACATTGTGTTCCTGTGCTGTTGTCCTACTCCATCTCTTCATTCTTTCTTTATCTAAAGAATTAATTGTGACTCTCTAACTCTGAGACCCCAAGTAGCAAGGCAGTACTACGTGTGGTGCTTAGTCTTTGAATTACATGAGCCCTCCTGCAAAATGTTTTCTGCTGAGTATCTTAGGCACATGGCGTGAATGCATTTGGAAGGGAGCTTCTGGTCATGAAAACCTCAAAGGATGGAGTCTGCCCAGCCTGTCCAGGCAACCTGATTCACTGTATTCAGGGTGAAAAAGCTTTTCCTTATAACCAGTTGGAAACGCTCCTGTTTCAACTTATGCCTGATGTCTCTCGTCCTCCCACCATACACCACTGAACAGTCTCATTCCATCTTGATATCTCCTCGTAGGTACAGGAAAGCTGCTCTTGGATCCCTTCTAAGGTTTTTTTGGGGTTTTGGTTTTTTTTTTTTTTGCCTCTCAAGCTAACTAAGTCTAGTTCAACAAGCTTGTTTTCATAGGATGTGTGCTCCAGCATTCTAATAATTTCGGCAGGATTCTTCTAGTTGTGTTTATAATCATATTTAAATATGTAGTGATCCTGAAACATGTTTTCTGATTTTTAAATGTTCTGGCAATGGGATTTTGGTTGGTTGGTTTGGTTTGTTTTTAAGTAGAGATAAAGCTCTTGCCTTATGGTACTGTTTTTCTTGTTTTGCTGGTAGAGGGTGGATATACATAAAGCATTCTGATACTTAACCTGCTCTACTGTTAGTTGGCAAGGCAAATATTTTCATTCATGGCACACTTATAATAATAATAAAATATTTTCATTCATGGCACACTTACCACATGGCACTGTGCTTACCACAGTTTAAAGTACAACAAACTGAGTGGCTTGCAGTGTTAGAAACCCCCCAAATACTACTGTAAAGTACAGGGTGTTTATTTTCATGAGCATTTTGGAGTTCTGTTACGTGGCAGCAAGGTTTTTATACGCTCCTGCCCCCAAAAACTCAAATTCTGGTAAAGCTAGAACAAAATACTGTGAGATCATTGGCATTAGGTCCAATTTGAGTGACTAGTTTATCTGTTTTGGTTTTTTCTGTGTTCATTAAATATCTGAGACCCCATATTTTAGGCAGGTATCTTTTGTCAATCTGAAGTTTTCTCATGATTGTTTTTTGCCAACCTGCCACCTGAGCTGCCTTTTTAGTGCTTTTTCTTTTGATGTGCTCTCTTCTGTGACCTGATCTGATCAACAGGCAAGTTCTGGCTGTCTTTTCTCTGCTGTCTGTATATAAGTCACCAAGCTGATCTCTTGGGAGTTCTCTCAAATATATTACTTGAGAATTTCCCTAGGAAGCTCACATTCAGTCCTCACTTCCCTGCCCTGTACTCTTTGTTCCCACCCATCTGCACTCTTCCTAGGTGTCTGTTAGACGTTAAGAGATAAGGTACTCTTCTCTGTTTATTAGTCTTGAGTGCTATCTACATCTTTCTAATGCAGTTGGCTATGGTGTTTTCATCTTTGAACCAGAGCCCTCTTTTAAATAAGAGAATAAAACGCACGAAGAAGACATTGCACCTCATTCTTAATTTTATTCCCTTTTTTCACTTGGTGTATATTGTTCTACAATACGGTATCATTACAATATGACCCACTTCATTCTTGCATGTAAGTGAGAAAAATAATAAATGTATTTCAGTAGTTCAGAACCATAATTATGCAGTGGAAGATGACATACTTGTATGCATGAGTTGTTATCTTAATGAGCCAAAATATAACTTTAATAAATTTCTATTTCACACTATTTTTTCTTTCTGGTAATTTGATTTGCAGACTGGTGACCAATACTACTTAAATTAGTTGTCTCTTATATTGTAGTTTCTAATTTGAATTTTGGTTCTCTTCCTTGAAGAGGCTGCAACAAAGCATACACAGGACTTCAGACAACTGAAAACTGAAAAGAAAAAGCTTGAAAAAGAGCTAAAGAAGGCACAAGTAAGACTTCCCTCATCTTTTGGATGAAGCTTCTTTTAGTATTTCTGGGGAAAAAAAGGAAGCTACTGGTAACAGAGATACTGAAATAGTAAAACTACATTTGTTGGGAGGATATTGAGTAACTAAACATAGCAGTTCACCTTAAGAGATAGACATTTTTCAAGTGAAGCATGACCTTTGAAATGTTAATTTAGATTTCATGCTAATTAAGAGTAGGAACTCTACAAACTATGTATGGCATGAAAAATCAATATTATTTAATTTTAACAGGGAAAACTTGATGGTGTACTTAAAGAGAAGTGCAGAAAAGGTAAGTGTTCACTTTGATTGTCTTCAGATTTATGTGTGATATTGTTCCATTTGAACATTTCCTTTCCCGCTGTCCTCTTTTTAATAGTTAAGCATGCAGAGACCCAGAGTTCAAGTGAAGATCTTGCAACAGATATAGACAAAGGTAAGATTTTTTGCAAGACTGTTCTCTGTGCAGAACCAACTATTATGAATTTATTGCAACTCTTCTAGAGTTGCATTTTTGGAAATAGAAGATACTGACTAAAATGCTGTAAGAGCAAATGTGGTTGATACAAAGATGTTACACTGATGAAGGACTAATGTAATAGATGACTATTTTCAGTTTTGCAGTAAGGAAAATACTTGATTCGCTCAAATAACTACTCTACCCCATGTGTGGGTGAAGCCAGTTGATCTGCAGTTATAAACCAGAGTGCAAACACTGAGAAAAGTATAAACAATCTCATTGTCTTCGAAGCTCATTGAAATTATAAAGGAAGCATGCAAAGCAAGAGACACAAGATAGGAATGTAGTCTGCTACAATTTCTGTATGAAGCTCTGTAAATCAAGTGCAAATCCAGGATGTATAATTGTTTCTTATCCTATTGACTTTTTTCCTCTAATGATCTAAAATATTTGCTACAAATGATCTGAATCCAACTGTGTAATGGAGCAAATTCCTTCTAAACGTCCTCTAAAGTACTGAGGCCAAACTTTAAGCAGCTTTTATTTTTTTGCATTTTTGCAGTCTTTTAAAATACTACTACTGCTTTTGAATTGTTTAGAAATTTTGAAGGCTATTTTCAGGCAAAAGAACTTCCCTGTTCTATTTCTTGCTTTGAAATATTAGTATATAAAGTTTGTTGCCAAAATTAAACTTTTCTGAAAAAGGTAGACCTTGTCAGTTCTTGTATGTCTTGGCATATTTTCACTCCCTTTTGGATCATACTAAATCGGTACCCAATTTCGTCCGTTAATTTTTAAGTAATGTCAAAATGGGAAAACTAAGATCAGAGCTCTAACTCGAGCTTCAAATAGCAGCAAGGCTTTATTACTAATGAGAAATTGTTAGTGTTGTGTAGGGATTGATTAACGGACTCTGGCGCGGGTAAAACCAAAGACCTTTATTGTTTACAAGTTTGTGCTTATATAGATTCACTAGCTGTCCATGCGCTCTAGTTTGTTCATGGATTGGTTAACCCCTGCTGACCACGCGCTCTAGTTTGTTCATGGATTGGTTAACCCCTGCTGTCCACGCACCGCAGCTAAGCTTTTAATTGGTGCTGTTAATCAAGACACGCGTCTTCTAGTTTGGGTCTCACAGCTGTGCTTCAAAACATTTTTATCTTCAGCTCACTTTCTGCACTTGCTTCATTACTTACTTTCTCAGACTATTTCCTTCAAGGCTATGTTGTTCAAGGTCGCTCGCAACACTCCCTGTGAATCCCACAGTGTTGTTAATAGCTGTCATGCAAAATTTGGCTTATGTGCCGAGTTTTTTTTAATATAGCTCTTCATAAAACGGTAACAGTTTGCTGTGGTCTTTGACTTATGGAATTGGCACAAAACTAATAGTCTCGGTTCCTGATTGTTGGATCTGATGGTAGTTTTGACATAAGTAGGTGAGGTGCTTGTGTATTTTGAGTTTTTGGTCTGTTTCTCCCTCTCCACCTGCCCTTCTGGTTCTGGAACTAGGTTGTTTGGCATCACCTAGCAACGGTGCTGTTAGGACTCCAGGCAATGTCTTCTAATGTTGTGGCCTGATAATTCAGATACATTTAAGGTGGTGTTACTCCATGGTGAGGCTAAGATGAGTTACTACTGAGTGGGCATAAAGAAAGAATGTGATATAAATACTTTCTTCCTAAAAGATTTCCTCCCCTATTTATGTTCATGTCACCTGAGTTGTTTTAGAAAGCTGTTTAATTTCACTAATGCTACATTCAAATCTGCTTTTACATTTTACTCTGGGGGCTGCTACAGCTTTTTGCCACCCTCACTATAGAAAGGAAAAGCTAAAACATTCTGCAACTATTCCTTCCATCTGCTGTGTGACTATGGCCAATACAGGATCCATTCACTCAATGGCACCTAGCATTTCTCTTTCTCTGAATCTAAAATGCTCCTATGTCCCTTGTCTTAATTTTTGTTGTGGGTATTTCATAGTTTGTTATAGGCCTGTCTGTGTTCTGAGTAAAAATAAACATAAATATTTAGCTCTCTGAGCAATTGAGATTTTCCTCAATTTATAAAAAGTATTTATTTTAACAGAAAAAATAAAGCTCTTGTTAGAAGAACTCTGGATGTGCATTGACAGTACAACAGGGAAGAGAGAGAATCAGGAAAATGATCCTGTCTTGGGTGAGATGGCATGCAAAGTCTTGACATTTTCTTGAAGCTGTCTTTTTTTTCTGACCAAAAATAAATATTGGTACATTTTTTTCAGCTTCTGTTCAGGATAAGGCATGGCCTGAAAAAAGACGACTGACTGTTACAGAAGGTGGGTTCCAGTAAATGTGAATTTATTAATATGCAAGTACATTAATTAAGTCTTACTGGGATATCATCAGATTGGGTACTGATTGCATAACACTTTTTTGAGACCCTCATCTCCCAGCCAGTCATGCCATTGTAGAAGGCTATCATGTTGGTCAAGCATGACTTTCTCTTGGTGAATCCATGTTGACTATTCCTGATAACTTTCTTTTCCTCCGCCTCCTTAGAGATGACATTCAGAATGAGCTGCTGCATCGCTTTTCCAGGGATGGATGTGAGGCTGACTGGCCTGTAGTTCCCTGGGTCTTCCTTTTTGCCCTCTTTGAAGACTGGAGTGATGTTGGCTTTCCTCCAGTCCTCAGACACCTCTCCTGTTCTCCATGATGGAGAGTGGCTCAGCAATAACATCTGCCAGCTCCCTCAGCACTCGTGGGTGCATCCCGTCAGGACCCATGGATTTGTGGGTGTCCAGTTTGCTTAAGTGATCTTTAACCTGATCCTCCTTGACCAAGGGAAAGTCTCCTTTTCTCCAGGCTTCTCTTACTTCCAGGATCTGGGATTCCTGAGAGCCTGCCTTAGCCATAAAAACTGAAGCAAAGAAAGCATTCAGTAACTCTGCCTTCCCTGTACTCTCTGTCACCAGTGATCAGATCAGGAACAAAGATTTGATTTGTAAAACTCTATTTCTTTAGTACCAAGGCAACCGATACTAGCATTGGATTGCTTATTTCATCTCTGCTCTCCTTTCTCCATTCTTCATCAAGGAAGTATTTCACAGTAGTGTATAGTAAATTTTGATGGTGTTTTCAGATCAGAGTAACCTTCCCCAGAAGTGGGAGAAGGCAGCAATGTAAGGATTTGAAGCTCTGTGGACTAGATTCCAGGTTGTAGATTTGAGGACAAAACTTAATCATTTTGGTAAGTGACATAATGAAGAAGAGTATGATTCCTTGGATAAAGTGAAATTTGTCTGTGAAATATGATCTTTGAGAGGATCCTTCCAATGAGGACTTGATATCAGTAGGGCTTTTCCTGGACCTGAAGTTCAGGCCAAGGTGTCAAAGAGTTGACTGTTTCCTATAGAGAAGTTTACCATATCCTGAACCTTTGCAAATTGCTATGACAACTCGTCCTACAGATAAAGGGGTAACCATGAGAAAAGAATCTCATTCCTAAAGAAATTCAAAAAAAGTTATCAGGGACTGGATTGGAAAAGGATGAGGAGAGAAGGATGGAGAATCTCTTAGTTATTCAGAAATTACATCTTTGATCCCTTTCTGAGGGAACTTTTCAGTGTATGGTGTGTATCGATATTCTTGGGCCCCATATAGGCTTATGACTGATCTTGAGATCTTGAGATCTTGATCACTCACAATCTTGACTGATCTTGAGAGTATAGGTAGGATGTAAAGTTCCTGATAGCTCCTGTTGTGCGGCTCACTGTGCAGAGTAAACTTCCCAATTGTCTAATTGAAGTTCTTCTAGGGGAAAAATAAGGAACTGTGTGTTTCTGCCCACTTCAGTGTGGAGAAAGTTCTGAGCTTGGAACTGGTTGGCACAAAGGAGCATGAAAGAAATCTAAGATATAATCTAAGAGTAGAGAGAATGACCTTCTGAATTTTCCTTCTTTTCTTTGTTCCTGCTTGTGAAGGATCTCCTTCCTCCTTGGATGGTCTAATGGGACTCAAATTGCAAAAGGAATCCAGGTTTTTCATGACAAAATGTGGAACATCCTGGGAGCTCTGTGTGACTGTAGCTTGTAAATAGCTTTGTAAAACAGTGTGTGGTCTTAAAACTTGTAAGATGCTGCTTTGACCAAAGGACATATCAGAACTTACTTATCTTTGGAGAAAATGAGATGTTAAGACCCTTTAGGCTGAACAGTTTCTCCCTCCTCCTACTGTCTGTTGCAGCAATTGAGATTTCAACATGGAACTGCTACATGAAGGGACTGAGATGGATCTTAGAAATAGGGGTTTTGATCAGTTTCCTACTGACTCCTTTAGTGGAGCCAACATAACAGAATGTGCCTAAAGGTTATTGGGAGACAGATCGCTGGGAGGTCATTTTCACCTATTGAATTAAATTAGTATTTTTGAATCTGATACTATCATTGATGCTGCTTCAGGAGTATCTGCAAGTTCTGGCAGTGCATAAACACTGACGGAAATAATGAAGCATACTATTTTATTTTTCCAACAGAGTGCAAGTTGTGCCAATTAAATCAATACATACTCTGTTCAAAACCATTTTGTGCATGTGCTGATCTTTATACTCTGGGACGGTACTTGGGTGTACACAGAATAGGCTTGATCTTTTGCTTGAATACTGCTGATTCTGTGTCCGATAGTGTTTGCGAGCACTACAAACAAGGTGGCATATACAAATCTCGTGTAAGAACTGCAAACACAACAGAGTAGGTTCTAGTTCCATGTGGCACACTGAGGTTTTGGGATTGTTGATTTCTACTGCTTCATTGGAGGTCATCTTTTCTTTTTATAAAATCATAGAATTTAAATTTCAGAAAACTGGGCCATGTTTTCACAGTTAAAAGCATCTAGCACAATTATAATCAATATTTAAATTTTTTGTCTCTACTGTTTAGACTTTCCTGGAGCAATGTGTTTTGTCTGCATGTGTAAGAAATGAGTTACTGTGTAATAATAAAAAGTGTGATTTGAAAAGGAACAAAACAGAAGTACAATGGAAAGAATCACATAGAGCACTTGGACATGCTTTCTTGCTGCTAGAATAACTGTGTAAAGCTGGTATAGTTGATGTTATCTTGAAAGGGTTGTCAGCTGCTCAGTATCTTTCATTGCACTAGTGGTTCAACCTTTGTGCATAGGTATGTTGCGAGGATTTTTTTTTTTAAGGGTTCAGCTTTAACTGAGTTGCATCATTAAAGACAAAATCTTGTACAATTAGACTCAATATTGAAATTTAAAGAAGAAACACTTTAAAAGCGTGTGTGTATTAAATCATAAAACTAGGAATATAGCTAAGAACTCCCTTACTGTGTTTATGGTACGGTATAATTGTAACTGGCCTGCAAGTGCAGCTGCTGGCTTAAAGCTGCAGGTTGCTTTAGGCTGAGAATTACAGCCTGAGTGGGGAATGTCACTGCATACTTGTCCTGCTTTTCCTGAACATCAGTTACTGGGCTAAAACTGAAATAAATCAAGCTGTATGAACCTTCAGTCCTACCCAGTATGGCCCTTCCTGGTAGGAAAAATTGGGAAGAATAATGATCCAAGTCAGAAACTGGTTTGAGGGCAATCTCTTTGTAGATACATACACCTTTTTGATGAAAAAAAGAATTGTTTGTGAATAACAATGTCTGATCTCTGTAAGGAAGATCTTTCTGAAAGTGACATTAAGTGCTTCTTACTAGTAGTCTATGGGAACATCACTTGAAAAGATGGTAATGCATTCTTATTACTATGATGTATTATCTCTATAAAGAAAAATGGGAGGGGGAAAAAATTCTTAACAATGTTTTTGTGTCTTAGAAACAGTACAAATCCACCAAAAAATCAGGAAGTGTGATGGCAAAACACTGCCGTGGTATTCTTCACTGGAAAGTGCTGGAAAGCAAAATTCTGTAACAGCCACACAACTTCAAGCAAGTATTGAGCCTTTTGGAGGTGACTGTGTTGAGAACAGGACTACTGAAGAATGTCTGCACGGTGTTGAGGATAAAACTGTAGATGTGATAACACAGACAGATGGGACACACAGCAGTTCGGACTTCTCCGATCAGGAGCAAAAGGGCCCAGGTGGAAATGTGATGGATATATTGAATTGGGCCAGGCCTCTCCCTGCTCTACTTTCTCCAGTACAGCTTTCACCACTAACTACACAGGTGAGTTTCAGGATGTGTCAGACTTGTCATGAACTTGGTTGTGTAATTATTGCAAAAATAATGATTTGATATTCTTGGTCTTTTTTATTTTCTTGAGTATCAGTATTATTCATGCACTGAAAGGGTCTCTGTGTGAGTGTTTAGATCCATATGGATACTTTTTTTACCTTTCTAGCATACTGTCTGTGGAAGGGGGCAAAATATAATTTTCAGAAGTATATTAAAACAAAAATCACCTGTATCTCAACTGCTGTCAAAATTTCTTTTCCCAGTGTTGCAGACTTACAGTCCCAACTCCTGTTTGGGTATAAGCATGGCTTTCATAGCGAAGTTCCACAGCTTGAAAGTCAAGGGGTACCTACTCAAATGTTGTTTTCCAGTAATCTTAGAATGCAAGTAGGTAGGTAAAGAAGTCTCTGACTTTTCACAGAGGTACTTTCCATTTGCTATGAAAAACAATGATGGAGAGGGATGTAATTCTGTTGATCAGATCTCTCAAAAATACTGCATGTCAGGGCCACCAGTGTATTTGTTTAGAGAAACAGATCTTAACACTGATACCAAGCTTTGGAATATTAACTTTGTATTTTTCATTAAAGGATATATTGTTTGGAGAAGTCACAGGTTCCAGCGACGAAGAAGTTGATTGCGGTGCTTCTGCAGTGGAGGATATTTTACAAGAAGACCAAGTTCAGCCTCAGAATTGTAATGTATTCAGCCTCAATGAGGGGTGTAACAGACAGAGCAAATCATGTGAGCATGCTCTTGATGCAGAAATCTCACGTAACCTGAGTTGGAATGAAAAGAATGTTCATATCAGTCCAAAGATGTTGAACAAGGAGGAGAGAGATGCTGAAGCAAAGCAAGCTGAAGCTGCTACTTTAGTTACAAACATGGAAACTAACAAAGATTGTTTGGAGAAGAATTCTGAGAATATAGAAACTGAGAAGGGGGAACTAACTGAAGCAACAGCACATGAATTGAAAGCCATCGAAGAGCAGAGGGGAGATAGTGAGGGCATGCACAGTGAAGAGGGAGGTTCTTCAGCTGATTCTGTGTTACGCAATTTCAAGCCTCAGAATCAGAAGGAAAAATGTAGTGAGGTAGAGCAAACAGAGGAGAATGTAATCTTAATGAGAGCTGTTGATTATGAGGGTACACATGAAAAGTGTGGTGAACTAATGAAAGCAGAAAGAGATGGATTGTCAGGAGAGAGCGAAACTCCCAGGGCAGTATCTGTTCCCCAAAATGTTACTCATTTGCGACCTGAGCAATGCATTGTGCTTTGCAGTGAAGATTCTGAGGAGAAATCTGATGTGTTGACGCAGAATGAAGTGGTTGGAAATGAATCAAAAAATGTAATCAAAGTAACTAATATGGCAAGTGATGTAGGGGAAAACATAAAACAAGTGGTAATTGGAGAGGAAATAACAGCTGCAATACAGATGAAAGGACTCTGTGCAGAGGCAAATAATCAGAGTGAGCTCTCTGAAAATGTATTGTCTGATTTCAGTAGCTCAAAATCCTTCTGTGAAGTGGAGTATCCTAAAGACCTAACAATACAGTGTGATGGGGAGGGAATAATTATGGAGACTGAGGCAGACACTGGAGCTATTGAGATCTCTGCACACTCTCAGTGCTCGGAAATAAAACATGACAGTGAAGAGATACTGGAGAAACAATGTGTGCAAACAATAAAAGATGAAGTGGACAGAGAATGCAAACCAGAGACTGTTAAAGTCTCTAGACATTACTTACCTGTACCTGCTGTTGAAGGAATCAAAAATTTATTGGCCTTTTCAAAAGATGATGAACAGCTCAAAACTGAAGGCTTGAATGTAACCAGACCTGAGACTATTGAACTAGCCATGAAATGTAACAGACAAAGTGTTCTAGAAATAGCTGAATCATCAGAGCTACTCCATAGTGCAGAAACTGGAAAATTGGTAGACATAAAGGGGGAGGGATATTTAAAAGGCAGACCACAACAGGAAGAAAATGGTAGTAATTTATCGCAAGGGGAGTCAGACTTGGAAAGTGTACTTGCACTACCAAAGACAGCATGCATTATTGATGCAGAAAGCAGTGTTGCTAAGTGTGAATCCTCTGAGTTAGGTTTTACAGAAGTAAAAGGTGAAATAAAACAACCTGAAAACCTGTGTAGTACATTGGAACGTGAAACTCAAAACTTTAGAGTGTTTGAATCTCAAGAGACTGAATTCAAAGTTAATCCAGAAGATTTCAGAGAGGAAAGCAGTGAGCTGATCGAAAGAGTGGATACCATTGAATCTGTCTTAGAAAGTAATCTTACTTCTCAGGCACAGTCTGCAAAACCTCTGAATCAGTTCTTGATAACTGACAATGTTAAATGTGATGAAATAGAAGGGGAATTAAATAAACAAAACAAGGAATTGGTGACTGACACTTGCTCCAGTTCATTTAACTGGGAAGAGAATATTGTGAAGAAAAACAGTATTTCAGAGATCATCTGCCAGCCTATTTCAGAAATGGATTTTAATAGTGGCTTGGCTTTTTCTTTTCAAGGGGACTTGGAGATGGGCTGTATAAGTACTGAAGAAGCAGATTCTCCTGTGCAGGTGGGAATTGGCTTGCAATCCACAATGCGTCCTGATCCAAATTTCAATCTTCAGAAAGTTGTCAATTTTGTTGAAACTAATTTCACAGAAAAGACTTTTTCCTGTACATGGGAAAACAAAGGAGATAAAAATTGTGTTACGGGTAGTGCATTTAACTGTTCTTCAGAAAGGTTGGAAGAAGGTGCTGAGATCCTGTCTGCTGAAAAGGACAACATGTGCAAAGAACTGGACTGCCCTGAGAGGGAATACATACACAAAAATGAAGTGAAAATTCCAGGTGAGAAGGAGCAGCCAGTAGATAAAGAACCTCAGGCATCTGTTAAATCACAGATCCTGGATGCAAACTCTTATAATAAGAATACTTTTCTTCTCCAAAAGTTTGATTGTCAAGAATCAGGATGCAGGACTTCTACATGGGAGGTTAGAACAGATCCTTCTAGAACTGGTTCACTAACAGTTGGAGGAGAAAGCAAAGAATTGAATAGTTCTGAGGCATCAGGGGAAAATGCCGTAAAAAGGTCTAAAAATGATTTTGATATGCCAGAGCAGCGTAATGAATCTGGAGAGAAAGACTGTTCTATACAAAAAGTTAGATATGTGAAATGTTCTGAATGTGTCCCCATGTTCAGAAAGGAACTGAGAGCTTCCAGGAGAATTGCAGCAAGTGCTCTGGAAACTGGTGTCATTGTTGATGCTGATTACCAAGTACGTCAACTTCATTCGACAGTGCACCCAGGAAATTCTTTGACAGTTAGTCATCTAAAAGGAGACACTATCAGGGATATGGATACACACTGTGAAACGAACAGCTCTCCAGATACTGCAAAAGAGTTGTCAAGTGTGGTTGGGGAGGGTTATTCTAAAGACTTAGCCTCTTGGAAAAGAGAGTGTGTATTAGTAACCTCTGAAAATACTGAGGGTGCTAATGAATGCATGGTAGATTCTAACAGAGCTAGGTGCATCAATGACAATGAGGAAAATCTGTTAAAAGCTGGGACATCAAAAGAAAGCCCTGTGATGCCAAATGCTTCAAAAAATAGATTACCACTATACCAGATGTTAACCAGGTTCTCAGAAACTTGCAGACAGGCTGTAAAAGACAGTAAATTAAATACAAAAATGTTAGCACTTGGCGATTTCTTGGAAGAAAATGATTCTGAAAAACTTCAGTCAAATGTGGAGCAAAGTCCACTACACAGTGTTGATACGGGGTTCTCAGTGTCTGAAGAATTTAATCATAATCAAACTTGCACTGCTTGCAACATAGGAGAAAACAACACTGATGTTATCCTAGATGGTAGCAGTAGAAAAAAAAAGTTTGTCAAGTATCTTCCAAATCCAGCCCTATCTGATGCAGAGTGCAATTGTCAGACAGTTAGGCAGGCTGAGCCACAAAAACCAGTGTTTGAGAAGTTATGTATGTTGGAATCAGAGTCTTGTGTGGATGTTGCTCTCAAAAAGAGCAATGAATTGAAGTACAGAGAGCGAGAACCATCTGAAATCTTGAGCGTTTCAACCAAGACAGCTGCCCAAGTAACGCATGCCACGCTATCAAAGAGGCGGTTTCAAGGTAAAAGAAAAACAAAGACTCTCAAAGTTAAAGTAACTCAGCCAGTTCTTGCAAATGCTGATACTTCTGTGCCAACAAAATGCTCATCCGAGACTATAAATAAAATTAGGCAAGAGATGGGTCCTCCTCTGCCCCCATTGCTACTGCCTTTGATTGCTACTCCTCCGAAAGCTGGATGTACCATGTCCCCAGTAATGTCTTCTACTGGTCGATCCTCTTTGCTTTCCCCTCTTGATGACCTGATATCCCCACTACGTGAAACTCCTGTTCCTCCTCTCATGTCTCCATTAACAGATACTCCAACAGTAAAATCTGCTCTTTTATTTTCTCCTTCCTCACCCTCAGAAATGGCAGTAGGTAGAAGGATTCGCTCTTCACCTTTGAAATTTTGTACTTCCATTCCAAAGCATGCACTTCCTGTCCCAGGAAGATTTCCTCCGTTTGCAGCCGATAGTGCTGCTCCAGGCGCTCCTCAGGAGAACTCTGTGAAAATACTGGACACTATATATCCAGAGCTGTCTGCAAGGGCGAGGACACTAAACATTCTGAAAGGCAATATTCAGCTTAACCGCTGTGCTTTTTCAGACAGCCAAAGTTTGCCAGGACCTGTGGCTCAAATAGGTGGGTTCAAAGCAATTGCATCTACATCAACTGCTTTTGTTAAAACTGGGAGCAATTTGAAATCTGCTAGTAGCAAAGATCAAGACAAAGATGTGCAAAATCAGCAATTGTTTTCAAGCTCATCAAACCATCTTGAAAAACAGGGACTATTGCCAATACCTATGCCAAGAAGTGCAAAGAGACTGAGATTGGACAGTGAACCACCGAAGCTGGAGCCCAACGATGTTGCTGCTATCGCAAATACTAAAAATACAATCTCTGAAATGCAGGAAGCTTTCCATGACAAAAGCTTTGAAATCAGTGATTCAGCACACAGTTCCAGTTTGGAAGCATTGCTACCAGTAAAGAAGGTTATTGATCCTGACTGTCAGAAAGTTTCTTCAGCATTGAAGAAAATTGCTGAATCCTGTTTTGACTTGTTACCAGTTATTAAAGGTCACATGTATGTTGGCAATATCTCGAAGACTCCAATAATGAGAGATGAAGAGAAAGAAGTTGTCTATGAATTTGGTATAAAAAACAAGGTACGTAGCGTAATTTTAGTTTTATGTTTTAATAATGACTTCTGTGCATGTGCAAAGAGTATGAGTATGTAGTATTTGAATTCTCAACTGTTCAGGCAATATGCAGTGCCAAAGTGTAGTCTTGGAACGTTGTCGGCCATCTAAACTTGTATAACTTAAGAAAATACAGAACTTCACAAGAAATTACTGTTCAATGGTGTCCAAGATACAAAACTGCATTTGTAAACACATTTGCTTCCCTGATGTATGCATAAACCACTTTATTTTTGCAGCGTTTTTTGTAGTGGCTAGCATTAACAATTGTAGAAGGAGTTCCTCTAAAAGTATGAGGTTTGATTACCTTTTTTTATTTTTTCAATTAAGTAAGATAAACTGAATTGTATCTACAATAGTGACATACCCTTTCATTTCATGTTTACCTTTATTATTCTACATCAAGTTGTTCAAATGAATTTTATTGGAAAAATCTTTCATTAGTTTGTTTCTCAGAACTGGCTTAGCATCAGTGTTGAAAAATTCACTTTAATTGCTGTCTTTCTCATAGAGCAATTCACCAGCTGATGTGTGCCAGCATTTTGCTCTGTTTCAGTTCTTGAACATAATTAAGTTCTCCACAGAAGTTGCCACCAAATTCTCGGGTCATCTTTGTTAGGAGTTGCCAAATGTGGTAACTTCATAGAAGCAAGACTGCAGCAGCTTTATGTTTCCACGTCCAGCCTGTAGCAAGGCTGAGTACGTACTCCTAATAGGCACACATGCACACAGTATGCACCTAATCTTGTTCCTTTCTCTGGCTGATCAGGGTGAAAGCCTGGAAAATACATACATGTATATACAGACAGTATGGATCCCTCCGGTAGCTAACATTACACGCTGAGCATATGCAGTAGGTGGCTCCTGTTCTCTCCACTTGTCTCATGCTCTGAGAGATTTACAGACACAGAAGCGCACATACATCCCTCCAGTAGCTGGTCCAGACCTATGCAGGAAAATTCCTTCGTAAGGAAGGTAGTTCTTAATCACATAACTAAACAGTTTATATTTAAAGAATAGTAGTCCTATTCTGCATCTGTTTAAGGCATATTTATTCTTGGAAGTTGCTTCTCACTCTTTTTCTTTCGCTGGTTGCCTCTGATTCACTTTTCTGCATTTTTATATGTATGCAAACAGTATTTTTGCAAATAAGATCGTAGTTCTTTTTACTTGTCATACTACTATAATGTTATCAAATATTCTCAAGTATGTGATAGTCTAACAATATTGTTTGTGTCTTCTAGCATTTAGCAGAGTCCTTGCTGCATGTTATTCTCAATAAACTCAAGGCTCAGAAGAATGCCACAAATTACAATTTCAATCAGGCTTTATGTCGAGTCTATACAGGAATTTGTCGACAGTTGGGAGATTTGGAAAGAGCCCGCCTTTTCTGCTATAGCCTACTTAAAGAAGGTATAGTACGACTTAGTGATCTTGTATCTTAAGTATACTATGTATTTTTGCTGTAGTGTTCCAAAATTATTATGTTTGTAAAAACAAACAAAAATCCTGTGAAAGGGACATTTTCCTTAGAACTTTTTTATATAGTGCAGAAGTATAAACTGTTCTAGAAGAAATTTCCCTTCTCACAGTTCCTCCATATCTGTGTCTCAGTTTGGTGATGACCTGGGCTCTTAGTAGTCTCATCTTTTCCAAATAAGTATTTTATCTAGGAACCTCTGTGCTTTCATTTTTACCCCACTATCTCCAAAATGATAATGTGATTCCAGGGAATTTTGTACATTTTGCTTATTGGTATTTTCTTATTTTAACTGAGTAAGCACTGATTCATAAAGCAAGTGTGATTTAAAAACGTGTTGGGTTAAAATAGTGTCAGGAGTTGGATACCTTAATCAAACCCAGTGCATTTGTGCAGCATGTCCTCCTTAAAGTTTTATTACTTCCCATTATCCAAAGTCTCGCTTGGTTGAGAGGTTTTTTCATTTTGGTTCCCTTCCTTTCGCGCCCCGCCC